CTGGAATGAATGAATGTGAAACCGTACCTCGAAGCCATGGGTCGTCTACTGAACGTAAAATCAACGCCACCCTGTTACAGTATATGGACTAACCTTGATCTACGCCTACCTCAATGAAATGCTATTTCAGATGGTTAGACAAGCTCGGGATTGCTTCACGGATGGGACTTAAGGGTGTTTTAAGGCAGTCTTACTATGGAAAAAATTATTCTCTCATCGAGATGAACTCGTTTGAACCTTATCCGGTAAGTTCAAATAATATCTTATCTTTTGATCTAAAATTCATATTTTCTGTTCCTTAATCTGTATCTGTGTCTGATTCGAACTGTGAAGAACTCGTTGGATATCGTGAAAGTTTCAAAATGACTCATATCCCTACTCTTTAAGCGCATACATGTGAGTGATACACTGGATTTAATTGGAACCGTACAATCGACTCTGCTTTTAGAAGAGATTTCTTACGAAAAAGGTTTTGTTGCTTTTATTTGATGCGAGACCTTTTTCGTTCACAATCATTCATATCTATATTAAGCATACATGTGTGTATATGTATGTCCTTTGTGTGACAATGGCTACATTCCAGGACTACTGGCTGACTTTGCTCTACAAGAGACTGGTTGGGAATAAAGTGTTATCTGTGCAGACCAACTCAACCAACAGTTTCAGGGTCTACGCCCACTGTGCCAATCAGAACAGGTACACCGTTGGAATGTGTTACGTGGAACAGTCAGAGACGAGTACCGACTTTTTAAGCGCTCTCTTTTTACTTCTTTGAATGGCATTTAGAAGTTGTAGTACTAAGTATGGATAAGAATTTATGGATGAACAACTTCTTTATTACAATTAAGAGCGACGTTTTGGCGTAGGTTCTAATACCGTTATCAAGCATTCTTATCCTTACTTACTTCCATTTTACATTTTAACCGTCAACTTCTAGAACATAGATGTCTGCTTTGTAGTCACACATTTCCGTGACGTACTGGAATTTAATGACGTCTGATGTGTCTATATTAATCCTTGTGTCTCACACTTTCCCATATGTTTACATAGCGTATACAACTACAAGCCGGGAAGTGTTGTAGTCTACATCATCAACGTCAACATCTACACCACCGTCGTCACCTTCCCACAATTCCAAAAGAATATGGATCTCTTCTGGCTCAGACCAGAGTTCATTGACCTTACTTCAAGGCAAGTATGGGATACATGATCATTAATATGCTGTAGAGACTAATATGTAGCAGAACACCAATACTTCATGACAAAGGCTAATATATATGCAACGACTTTGCCGTCATATAACGTGCTACCTACTTAAACGTGACCTGTAATGTCACATACATTTCTATCGAACATCAAACTGACTGATGTGTTATCGGTGCTTTAGTCTGCGTCTTATTGGCACAAGAGGAAGCATTGATTCCAAGATACTAACGTTGTAATTTCAGGAATGTGACACTAAATGGTAAACGACTGGATTATGTGAACAACACCATCCCCGACATGCCCCCTCAAAAGGCCTATGGCGGGCTCCTCATGCTACCAGCAAGGACCTTCGGGTTTGCCGTGTTCCCTGATGCGGATGTTGATATCTGCAAATGATGCTGACGGTACTTATTGTAATGTGTTCGACATTAAACTAATATTACATTGCAAATATTTGCTTTCCTATCTTGTTAGAATGCTATACCTAGTCGTGTAACGTTCCTGTATATAATAGGCTGAGAGCATCGAAATTATCAAACATTGTTTCGGTGTTCTTATTGACAGAATGCCTATATATGTCAAAAGTATTTAGTAGTTGATTAGTTTCCAAATGAGGTTCAACCCAAGATGGAGGTTGAAAAGAGTGAGTGAGTGAGTATGGTTTTACGCCGCTTTTAACAAAATTCCAGCAATATCGCGTCGGGGGACACCAGAAATGGGCCTCACACAATGACAAGAAAGAGAATCATTCAAACCCTTAATATAACACTCTGGTGCCATCACATTAACATTAGATAACAATACACATCGCAGCTGTATCCGGTTAAGTATCAAGCTACAATAACAACAGATACTTTATCAATAAAATAATAACAGTCTGTTAAAGACGTAGGTCGAATGATCGCGTGGGTGGTCCAGGCGTGTTAGTGACAGATCTACCCTTGCTTACACTTTCAGGTTCGGGATTATATGATTCCAAATATGATGAAGAGGGCTGCTCCAAGCGTGCATGAAAGAATGCTCGTATAGAGTCAGATACTGATCTTAAAACGATGGACTTATTTAACACAAAATGCTAATCTGGTTTTAGCAAAAGCCTGATAAAAGGTATGGTTAATACAAGAATATCATTTTGAACACCATGGATCCTTTGTGTCACCTCTCTCCTGTTTTAAACAGGTGAGTCACCCTGATGATCTAGACATTTTCGACCTCCTCGAAACTGATGGAACATTCTCAATGCATTGGATTTGCGTTTTATAACACGTTTCTTAAAGAAGTTAACCCACATGGGAACCCTGAGTAGATAAGAATGTGTCCTCAGCACTACATTGCTGGTCGTAAGAGACCAGCGAATTGGGCTACCCGTTTGCCGTTGGTTGCGGCCCTTTGTTGATGGAGGACGGGATTCTGATGGTTGAGGGCACTGGAGCCAGGGAGAGGTGTCCCTTTTGCAAAACACATCACTTCCACCCTTACTTTACCTAGATTGGTGGTAATATTGGCCCGATTCTATCAATCAATCTTTATTTCTGGAGTAAAACACCCTTGTAGTCCTGGTGTTTGTAGTCAGATTCCACTTCAACACCGTCCTTGTTGACACTCCTTGGTGGGTGGGGAGTAGGGTTGTTGAATAAACTTCCTTTCATTACGGCTACATGACAGTTCATTGGTTCTCGTACAAAATCAAAGAAACGACGTATTGATACTGCTGTTTCTTCTGATGAGAAATCTATACTCAGTGTTGACTATTGGCCACGATTTCTGGTTGTTGAAGGCGTTGATGGAGAACCCCCCAACATTAACCCCTTCATCATTTCCAAGTCTATTCAGGGAATATGTGGTGCTGTCAAGAATGTTACTCGTCTCCGATCAGGTTCACTACTTGTGGAGTGTGCAAAGAGACAACAATCTCTAAATCTTCTCCAAGCGCATTATGTCGCAAATACTGAAATTTATGTCGAGGCGTTGTACGCCTTTAAGACATGTCAAAAGAGGAACCTTAAGTTGTAACATCTGTGAAGCAATTTATGAAAAAAAGATGGTGATAATCTTATTAAAACCCAAACTTACCTTTTTACATTTGCTTTAACAAAACTTCCTTCATCAATCAACTGGTTATATACCAAATCCACTCTGTCGTTTTAAATGTCAGCAATTCGCACATGGGGCTAAGTCCTGTCATAACTCATAATTTGTTCCCGCTGCAGTAAGCAGCATGACTGCACAGATAACAAACTGCAGCGGTGACCACATCTCGTCATCAAAATCATGCCCCTCTTTTGTGACACAGACAAATATCCTAAACCAGCCATTTCTGCTGCCAATATCAATCTTCAATATATAGCTCTAGCTCAGCATTTGTCATCTCGTCCATGGCAGTTGGTACAGATACAGGTTGACCTGTCATGAGCTAAACTTAAGAAATCTGAAACAAATCAATTGATTTATCAACAAGAATATAATCAATTAAGACACACTGATACTTACAAATGTATATTTACAGATGGATCCAAGTATGGTGACGCAGTTGCCAACGTCATCGTCATTGGATCCATGACTATATCATGAAGATAACCAGCTAACTGTTCCATGTTTATGGCCGAGTCAAAGGCAATCTTGACAGCACTAGAATATCAAACAATCAAACCATAAACAGTTCAATGTATTGTCAGACTCTCTATCCCGTCTTCAGGCAATTAAGAATCAGTCTTGCAAACATCCACTTTTATTAACAATTATTGAATTGTATAATGATCTTGTAACTGGCCAATACGACATTGTCTTTGGTTGGTTACCAAGCCGTGTTGGAATCATTGGTAACACAATGGCCGATGCTGCTGCAAAAGCAGCACTCAACAAATCTGATCTGATCTTTGAGTCTGCGAATGAGCTGGCTCGCATCAAATTAGGCTTCAGCAAACGCAGAAGATATAGAAGGATTATTCTTCTGATATTGACTCAGGAGGTAACGCCCTGGACACTGAGCGAAAACATTTTAACAGAAAGTCATCGAAAGATTTCCATTTCATTTCTAAGCCTAGTTGCCATTGTGCCAAAAGGTGAGAGCCAAAGAATAATAATTAAGCTTTCATTCTGTATACGCAGCTCAAGATGGAAGGCTTGCGCCTCCTGAGAGATTTGACTTCGATGTCAAAGAAGCATATCAATATTGTCTGAAACCTGAAGGATTATCTCCACTTTCACTGGGATGGTGTTTTTTACCAATTCTCGTGCATTCCATTCCGACAAGGTCCGGTCGGCCTCCTTGGTCTAATCGTAGAGCGTCCGCCCTGAGAGCGGAAGGTCCGGGGTTCGATCCCCGATCGCGTCATACCAAAAGACGTTAAAAGATGGTACTTGTTGTTACCCTGTCTGGCGCTCGACATTAAGGGGCTAAAACAAGGACAGGTTGGCTCAGAGTCAGTATACTGTGTCTGAGTGGGGTATTCATGTTAAACTGCGGCATGGTATCTCAGTGAGCTAGTACTAAAAATCGGCATCAGTCCAGACTAGTACAAGCAGCCACACACATACATACACGTGCATGCACGTCGCTATATAAGTGCAATAATCTTGGACGCGACGTTAAATCCCATTTCACCTCACCTCACCTCTGACGAGGTCCTGTTACTCGATAACGTCACGAAACAACCAAAACCAGCAGTCAGTCCAGGAATTCGAATAACGTATCGATAAGAAACTTATTCCTGGGCGACATTATTTGCCTTACAGAATCGTCCAACTTCAAATTTTTCCTTCACCAAGGTCGTAAACTAGTTGTTTTATCACTTCTGGCTAATCAGTAAAATGGCCTTGACTCGACATCAGTGATCCAGATTAAAGGTGATATTCATTTATCTGCATTTACTTTACCGCTGACACCATGTATGTGAGACGTTTGCTCGTTATTCTGTGTTCCTGGTTTGTGCAATGTACACTGAGTCAGTCTGTATCTGTCACTGTTGCTACAGACAAGGAAATAGGATCGATAGATGACCATTTCGTTGGAGTGACCTTTGATTCATCCATGCTTCCAATATCAATTGATTGGAAAGGACTTGATTTCGCGTGAGTGTACTATTCAAATAATGATAAATAGATTGTATTTGCTTCAGGTAACAGTATAATACATGAATATGGTGCAAATTATTTGAAGTTTTAAATAGCAACGCAACTATTTCCAGTTTCTGATGAATATACTTTATCTTAAAACTAGATCGCATAAAGTGCAAACACTTGCTAAAGCATTGTATCCGTGCTACCTGAGGATAGGAGGAACACCTGGAGACTTCATGACCTTTGACCCAACGGGTCATGGGGGAACAAGTGCAAACTCCACTTATACTGGTATGTTTATATGACTTATATATGTGACGTCAAATGCTGTTTTTGTTTTTGTTTGTTTGTTGTTTGTTTGTTTCTGTGGTTTTTTTTGGTTTTTTTTGTTGGTTTTGTCTTGTTTTGTTTTGTTGGTTTGTTGTTGTTTTTTGTTGGTTTGTTGTTGTTTTTTAGGGGGGGGGGGGGGGGGGAGAGCTGTACTCAATACCATGACAATCATAACTGAATAAGGTTCAACTGGTTAAAAAAGTCAAACGGTTTGAGCTGACAAGGACTTACATAGTCCGTTACAATTACAATTCGGTGAAGCCTGGTGGTAAAATTCCCATTCAATGATTCACAACGTAATATGTTTACAATCTTGACTTTATCTGCTGTGAAATCATCATACGCAAGCTCCTGTTTAAAAACGTGTTGTAATTTAAAATCCTTATACACAGCGACACAAATCAATCAATCAATTAAAATAACTGTTTACTATTTGCATAAATAAATATTACTTTCGTTGGAAGTACATGCTTCTTCTTTTTATCTTTGAGGTGCTATGTGGGACAATCTCAATGACTTTTTGAGGATCGTGGGGTGGGAATTGGTGTTTGGTCTCAACGTGTTGAAGCGGAAAGACGGACAGTGGGACCCTGAAAACGCCAAAGAACTGATGAGCTATAGCAATGCCAGGAACTACACGATACCGGCCTTTGAACTCGGAAATGGTAGTGTATAGTTATATAGGTCATAATTATACAGCCAAGCATTCTTGTAGACGATATACTTTTTTCCTGGCTTCTTCATCTGCGTGTGTTACTAAAACATATCGTGCTTGACTCAAAGTCAGCTATGGGTGCTTTATGAATTCATGTGTTTCGAATTCATGAGTCATTTCCTTGATTCAGTACTCTACTTGGTTGTTCTCTAGAACCTGCATATTTTCCCGAACCCTTCACCGATACAATATCTGGAGCACAGCTTGGGCGAGATTTTGTCCATCTTAGGGAAATAGTCAAGTCTACACCTGGCTTTGAATCCACCCTGGTGATTGGACCAGACGTAACAGCTATCTCAGGGCCAAAATCGATATTGTTTAAAACGTAAGTAGAAAAATACAAAACATATCTTCTCGTAATCAGCGCAATTGGTATAAGGGCCTTTATGACAACAGATGAAAGCAGCATTATTGTGATAAATAATTACTGATTACAGCAATATGGTATACTGATTTTACAGTAAAACTGACACCATGTATGCAGATACTTCCTTATGCCCGATGTTCTCGGTATGGATGAACCAGTATAAATAGAAGAGTCGTATTGTTAGATTCACATGTATTCCCTTACAGTTTCTTTAAAGGGGACGGACGAAAAGCGCTTGACAGGATAACTTTCCACCAGTGAGTAAGCTATTATAATTTTCTTATTTATATATTCAATTAAGTTTCATTTGACAACAGATACTATTAATCAGTAATGAACATTGAGATGCTTTGTAAAGGAGATATTTAATAATTTGTGCCAGGTTACATCCGTGGTCTAGTAGATGGAGTGCCTGCCCAGAGAGCAGAAATTCTGTGGTTTGATCCTCGGTTCTATCATGCTGCCCACGTTATCCTTGTATGTGACGTTAAACCACAGTTCACCTACTCTCACCTAATTTGGAATTATTGAATGTCTAGTTACTACGGCTTCGAAGGCAATGCTAAAGTGGACACCTTTATCGACCCCAAAGTGATGGACAGTCTCATCAGTTTCATTGACATTGTACGCAACGTCACCACCTCCGCCAACCCCGACACTCCCTTGTGGCTCGGGGAGACGTCTTCTTTCTCTGGAGGCGGAGCGCCTGGACTGTCGGATAGATATGTGGCCGGCTTTCTGTGAGTATTTGTCAAGAATGTCTACTATAGGTTAGCATTTCGTTTCTTATAACTCACAACAATGTCTGGTGAACAAATGTTACGTACACATGGAATTCATATACAGTAAACTACGTTTATAACGAACTGGCGGATTTAACGAACAGGTTTTTGGGCCAGGCCATTTGCTGTATATATGCTGTTTTATAACGAACTACGGTTATAACTGTGATCTATTTTTGTGTATTGGCCCTCAACTTCATATGAATTCTGTTGCAATTTTTTGGGACATGTGTATGCTTTGATACCTAATTAATTCAAAATCTGTTTCAAATAATTGTAAATCCCAATCGCGTAATCATCTGACGTTGCCTTTTCATATTTACAAACTTTGTTACCAAACGGTACATTTAATGTTCTCAGAAAACCCTTTGAAGAGAACAACTGAAACAATTCAATCTACACTTCTTTGGTGCACTTCTTTGATGTGTTTTTTTAATGTACATGCGATTGATAAGTGTTCCTTTAGTACACACACAATTGTTAAGAACCCTTACCATGAAAGATGAGTTAAAAAAAGAAGTGATATATTTGAAACTGGAGAACACACTCTTAACAGTGAACGGTTCATTTTCATAAACCTACAATTACTCGAAGTTCTCTCAGCCGAAATTTGTTTTGAACTTTGTAAGTTGCATGTGTGATAATTCAGATTAAAGGTTTAACAACTTTCGTGTGTCACAAGAGCCGCCACCAATATATGCAGTTGTACCTCGACATCGTTCGTTGATCATAGCATTATTATGGTCTCGGTAGTTGAGTATTTAAAGGCCACAGTGATGTATCTGGAATGCTGCAAATTGGAGTGTAATACATCACCTTTAGAGAGGTATACTGCTGAATCGAAATCAAAACGTGACTGTATTACTTTTACACCAACATGTACATTGTAATGATGTGAATATTTCAGATGGTTAGACAAGCTCGGTATTGCTTCACGGATCGGACTCAAAGGGGTTTTAAGGCAATCATTCTATGGACAAAATTATTCTCTCATTGAGATGAACACGTTTGAACCCTACCCGGTAGGTACATATAATATCTTATCAACATCGCACAATGTGTTTCTTTCGGGAATGTGTTGTGAACCACATTGTCAATTATACCAACTGTTTTCATTTACCTGGAACATTTTACTGTGTGAAGCGTTAAACAGGCAGCTAATACTGGAGAAACCGTGGAATATCAGCAAGAACAGAAAACACTAGATTACCTCGAGACCACAACTATTCGACTGCCTCCTTGTCCTGAGAGAAAAGTTGAGTGAATTGTTGTAACTCAATTAGTAACAACGACCAGAAGGTTAGTAAACAGCGAATTTACTATCCTGCCTGGTAGATTTCACGAGGCAACCGTGGAGAGAAGGATGCTTTCTGCTCACTTCCACCTTTGGCAGTGTCGCCACTTTAAGACATTGAGATGATTATGAATCAGAGTACAATCTATATATTGGCTTTGTAACGTTGTTAATGTTAATTTTTCATGACTGTCAAAATGATGAATTTTATAGCAAGGACTCATTAACGAAGGGATATTAGTTCAGTTTATTTTTTAAGTATTGTGTAACTAAACATGGCTTCCCTGTCTTTGACCAGCCGCTAACTGACTTAAACACCACTCCCTTGATGATAGAACAAGTTCACGAAAAATGTGTGTCGCCCACGGGATTCGAACCCGCGATGTCTACGCCGAAAGCAAACGGATGTAGTCCCCTGCCATGGCGACATGGAAGCCGCTTTGTGAAATGAACAACTGTACATTTACTTACTTACAAATTGTTGATCCGATTATGAACGGTGTCAGGTTTCTTTGAATGAATGTCAGCCACGGTGAAGGGGAACATTGCGAAGTGGCTTAAGACGTTGTATGGAATTCGCTGTGCCGACGTTCCTTAGTCGTGCAAGAAATCAATGGTCATGTGTACTTATCGCAGTTCGCTTTCATTATATTTCTAGGTTTGTGAAACCCATACGCGCACCCGGGTGATCGTGGCACGCTCTCACAAAATTGTAGTATTGTTCAAAGCAACCTCAAACCAAACTCACACGAGTTCAGAGTGTTATGTAGCAACAATTTGTAACTGGAGTACTGATAAAAAGAGGTCAATCCATACTTACTCACATATGTGTCAGCCATTAATCACAGACTAAATAATTCTTAACCTAATTACCACAGACCCATGCCCCTGACAGTGATACAAATATAGAAAACACATAATGCTATAATGTATTCAGGTTAACAGGTATTTGACGTTACATGTATATGACAATACGCTTGAATGTGTCACTTTCCAGGACTACTGGCTGACCTTGCTCTACAAGAGACTGGTTGGGAATAAAGTGTTATCTGTGCAGACCCATTCAACCAACAGTTTCAGGGTCTATGCCCACTGTGCCAAACAGAACAGGTACACAGTTGGAAGGTGATGCATGGGTTAGTCAGTAGTGCTTTTTATATTCAGATATGATTCAGACCTACGTGATGCAAAGACAATTGTCACTTTCCAGGACTACTGGCTGACCTTACTCTACAAGAGACTAGTGGGGAATAAAGTGTTATCCGTGCAGACCAACTCAACCAACAGTTTCAGGGTCTACGCCCACTGTGCCAAACAGGAAAGGTACAAAGTGGGTGTGTTAGATGGTGTGCTCAGTATACAGAAGAAAATATTGACGATTAAAACCAAATAGGAGGGACAGGTAAATTAATTATCATAATTTATTTCTTAATCATCAACATCTGTATTGGAATTACACCATATCTTCCCAGGCCGCGTCATACCAAAAGACGTCAAGAGATGGTACTACTTGTTACCCTGTCTGGCGCTCGGCATTACGGGGCTTAAACAAGGGCTGGTCGGCTCAGAGTCAGTGTATTGTGTCTGAATCTGGTATTTATGGTAAACTGTGGCATGGTATCTCATTGGGCTAGCACTGTAAAATCGGCACCAGTCCGGAATAGTACAAGCAGCCACACATGTACACACACACACAAACACGTGAATGTTCGTCGCTAGGTAAGTGCAATAATCTTGAATGCGACGTGAAACACAATTTCACCCCGACTCTCGTGAGGAAATGGGTGATTTCTGATGTCCTGGACAGCATTGTCCCTTCACTCACTATGGCCATCATGTATTGTTACAGCGTCTACAACTACAAGCCAGGTAGTGTTGTAGTCTACATAATCAACGTCAACACCTACACCACCGTCGTCACATTCCCTCAATTCCAGACCAATGTGGATGTCTTCTGGCTTAGGCCTGAGTTCATAGAACTTACTTCGAGGCGAGTGAATACACGCGTAATGGTTATTTATAGCAGAACAAGTTTACAAATTTCGCTAAAACCTGGTGCATCATTCATATAATTTTCACCACTATTTTGCCTTTTACATTCAGTGGAATCTGTATCGGCGGATAATCAAGACTGATAGTCAAGAACATATATAGAACACTTTGAACAATTTGCAACGAACACCAATGGAAAGTAATACATTCTGAAAAGTGATTTGTGCTGTAACATGCATTGTTTGATATTCTGATTCTGTCATCATTGTACAAACTGCATAACTGATAGGCTGTTGTTGATAGGACGTGGCTTTCTGTCGCATTGCGCGAGAGCTCACATTGATTCTTTGCCACTGATGATGTAATTTCAGGAATGTGACACTAAATGGTAAACGACTGGATTATGTGAACAACACCATCCCCGACATGCCCCCTCAAAAGGCCTATGGCGGGCTCCTCATGCTGTCAGCAAGGACATTCGGGTTTGCTGTGTTCCCTGATGCGGATGTTGATATTTGCAAGTGATGCTGACTGGTATTAGACGTCACGTGTAGCAAACTATAAACGGCGTTCCATTACAAACTTGGCTTTCTGTTCTTGTTTGACATTCCACAGTTATACGTGTGACATGTATAATGCTCAAAATACACATATAATTGTAATAATGGACAAGTACTGGAGGTAGATACAAATGAATGAATGAATGAATGAATGAATGAATGAATGAATGAATGAATGAATGAATGATACCTAGCGCCCAAGGCGATAATGTCCAAAGGAACTAATATTTGACTGTCAGCATTGCTTTCTACAATATGTGACTGCCTCCGTAGTCTAGTGGTAGAGTGTCTGCACGGAGAGCGGAAGGTCCGGGGTTTGATCCCATGTCGCGTCATATCAAAAAACGTGAAAAGATGGTACTTGTTGTTACCCTGCCTATCGCTCGGTATTGAGGGGCTATAACAAGTACTGGTCGGCCCGGGGTCAGCATACTGTGTCTAAGTGGGGTAATCATGTTTAACTGCGGCATGATATCTCAGTGGGCTGGAACTATAAAATCGGCACTAGTCCGGACTAGTACAAGCAGCAAGAAAATACCACACACACTTGTGCATGGACGTGGCTATGTAATTGCAATAATCTTGGACGCGACGTTAAGCAAGTTTTCTCCTAGCCTCAACTTTTACAATATGTTCTGTTGAACACTGTCACACTTGTTAGAAACAATTGTTGTGCCAAACAACGCCAAGGATTAATCAACATAGCAGTCTCAACTCAATGAAGTTTATTCTGCAACCATTAACATCGAGAGAAACTCCGGAAGGTCCGGTTCAACATAAAGTTGGAATAAACAAAGGCGAACGCGGACGCATGTAGTCGGGAAAACCAACACTTTGAAAAGCATTATAATCATTAGTGTTTTCGTTTCGTCAGGGCAGAGGCTATACTGTCACTGATAATACATAGCTTAAAAAGCACACAATTTCATTTAAGCCTTTCTTTGTTATATTCTATACGATAATCGATCTAATGATGTCCTTTTAAAGTATGAGACTATAGCTATACCGCTGACTGCATCGAAGAACTTGATCTAAAAATCGGAAAAGATCGGTTTTGCATATATACATGACGACTCGACCGATAACATGGTGATTCGAACTCGTACCTGCATATTTGATGCGTAACCATACAGGATTCTTTATGGAGATACTGGAAAGCATGGACGGAGTGTTGATGCCTGTGACTTGGTTGATTGAGTGTTTTCCTACACCGACAGCGTTGATCGTCCACCTTTTGTTTGTGTTAATATCTACTTACGCAGACATCAGGAGCAAATGCGAACAGTTCACGTCAGTGGCTTTCCTGTTTTTCGGACCGATGTTTTACTGTCGTTCAACAAATGTTCTAGTTGTTCTTTGATGATTTCCTGTAAACTTTCCATAAATGTTGTAAATAGTGTGTTATAAGTACGTAATCACTACATGTTGCATATTCCAATTTTACACCACATGTTCCTCTCTTCATCCAATAATTTTCATACCAATTTTGATGGCTTTTCGATTGGGAAAACCCAGTGATTGACATCATGAGCATCGATCCACGCAATTTGGGAATCGATGACACGCATCAATCAAGTCAGCGAGTGTGACCACCCGATCCCGTTAGTCGCCTCTTACGACGAGCATAGTTGCTTCCTACAGCAAGCATGGGTTGCTGAAGACCTATTCTAACCCTATTCGAACGGGTAGAAACAATAAGAATACTTGACAGAATTGCAAGATCTGGGTTTTAATAACTTGTGAATCAGCTTTAAAACAGATAAGATAGTAATGTCAGTTTGGTAATCCAGAAACATAGTAACACGGCCTCTGACCTCGTCTTACGATTCTGCTGTCTCATCTCATGTGCCAACCAGACAATGGCTGCCACAGACATTTTACTCTAGCGACGCTCAGTATCTTCAGTCTTGTTTGTAAATCTACGTCTTTGTCTGAAGACATCCGTACTGACTCGGTTCTTCATACATAAGACGACATTTTTGTTGGTGTCACGTTTGATGTCATTTTGACTTGGAATGGATTCCAACAAACTGTTCATTTTTGGCAAGATAAGAATGACTAAAAGCCATCCATGTCGTATACAGACGGGAACAGGTTACCGTGCTTCATGTAACGTTCGATAAAACTACATATATTCCCTTTCAATAGGCATATTCATGAAGACATCTCCTCGACTTTCAGGTCGTGATTCACAATGGATGTTTGCGAGTTTGTTGGGAGCATTATACTCATGCACGTAGGTTTGTATTGGAACATCACTCAATGATTGTATAGGTATCCGGTGCTTAAACACATTCTGTTTAATGGTAAATAACGCTGACGCAGTGCCACGGCTTGCTTAAAATCAACATCTACTCTGTGGATATGCTGCAAACAGGATTGGCGCAAAAAAGAAGTTGCGACACATTTTCATGTTCATGAAAACACAATGGTCTTTGGAGACTTAATCTACAGTGAGTAACACTCATGATATGCCACGAGCTGGATGTCCCCGTGTGACGTCACGTCAACAAGACAACCATATTCGGTTGGTGCATTTACGGAATCGTAATACCAAACTGCCACACTAACAGCACTACCTACGTTGAGGCCAATTAGTGGCAGGATCATATGCAACCGGATGATGGATCACAATATCAGGCCCTGATGTCCAGCGATACGCGCAATTTTCCTTCAACGTCAACGGCAGGCACGCCCGGCTTCGTGTAGACAGCATATGAGGTTCAGAAGACATGACTGGGACAGTATACTGCTCACCGCGCCAGGTTCCCCCTGGACAGCTCTGGTGGTCGTGCAGAGGTCTACATGCGCTTAGGACGCTTCAAAGCCGGAAACACTCATGATATGCCAGGAGCTGGTTGCCCACGTGTGACGGCACGTCAACAAGACAACCGTATTCGGCGTTGTTGGCTAGTTTTCATGATTAAGATAGCACGCGCTCACGTAGATGTTTGGATGTTGTCAAGTAGATTACAATTGGTCGATGCGTTGGGATTCGATTAGTCGTGTGACTTGATTTCAGACATTGTTGATATTGATGCCCAACTACGGAATCCGTGTTGACTCGAGCGTTTTCTCCCTGCCATCCCCATGAGGAACGGATACCCATGTGTGCAGGCACAGAATATATCTAACATTGTACTCACAGGTGAGTACTATATATACAATAACATAGTGTTTTCTGCATGCTGATACATGTTCAAATATTTGAGGTCACAATGATCTCTTGATTTGTAATGCAGAATCAATACGTAATTCAAAGAAGAAACACGGACGTACATCCTCGAATTCTCTGTATTACATCATTAAATGGCTATCATCCATGTTTGGTTGTAAGGTAATACACATGCATGTATGCAATTCACATTGCAGCTCATGTTTGGGACGAAATACGATAACATAATATTTGGTCATATTTACGTCTGATTAGTGTTTTATCATAACAAATTCATTGAAAAAATAGTAAGAGTAATATTCTCCTAGTAACAGGAGACAGTCACAACAGAGGTGGTGTAGCAATGTCAATATCGGGTGTGACCACCGTTTGCGTTGATACAGGGTCGGTAGCGGTGGTGCACGGAAGACACCAGATGACTGAAAATAGCATGAGGGCGGTTCTTCCGAGTGTCAACCAAAGATTGTCCCATCTGAGCTAGATTTACTGGTTGGTTCTTGTCCTGTCGTAGGCGTCCCTCTATCTCATCCCAGACAGGGGTCTTATCTTTGGGCTTAGGGTGCTTCAGCAGAAAGACTCTAGGACCTGAACAATGCAGATCAACTGCTCGACTACATCACCCAGAAAGGATATGACATACACGGCTTTGACCTGGACAACGGTATTGTGTTCTTTACAATACATGAAATAAAAAACTCACGAACTGAAATGCGTGATTCCCCACCGTGTAATAGGAACATGCGAAACTATTGTAAGACATTGGAATATCCCATCCCGTATAACATCTCGATTCATGATGTATGTAGTTTTTAGTTTGATTCAAGATATGATCGATAAACGAGATATGATTTTAAATAACATACAAGGGATGATATGATGAAATGAGGACCTATCATGTTTGTAAATGACGTGTTTGTATGTAGTACGTTTGTTTGTTGTTAAACACTGCATTCAGCAATTGTACAACTATACGGCGACAGTCTGTAAACAATTGAGTCTGCACCAGACAACCCAGTGGTGGATGTTGTGAACCACGATCCACTCTATCGAGTTTCGATGACACGCCATCAACTACGTCATCGAACATGACCACTTGATCTCATTGGTTGCCTCTAACGACCAGGAAAGTTTTCTGGGGACCAATTCTAATCCGAATGCGGTGAGGTGTCGATTCCAAAAATGAAACAATATGCTAACCCAGAAATCTGTATCAAGTCTTTGAATGGTTTTTAGAAGTGATTCACATAAATAAAGAATTTATGGATGTCAACTCCTATATTGTAACACAACGTTTCGGAGTATATACTTACTCCTTCATCAGGTGATGCTATGAAGCAGAGAACATATATATGTATCTGTAAGAACAACAAAAGTAATAAGATCACAAAGGTTGAAACTTAACAAGGGAAACCAACAGTTAATTGGCGCTGATAGGATGACAATTGGAAGCTAGGACTCAAATTATCACTGATTGTAATGGACACTGGGCAAACGGAAGGCAGGGGGCAATAAGCACTGATAGGTAGTAGCAATGGAAACGGACTAATGGAAGCCTGCTGGATAATTACCACAGACAATAATCAAAGTAAGACTCGTAAGTCCAAACCACTGGGCTGATAGGTTCCCTGGTCACTGTTCATGGCTGGCTGATGTCTCCTGGTGTAAATGGCTTCTTCGTTGTCGCCAGTTGCTGTTGATGGTAGACAGGACTTTGGCGGCTTCCAACATGATGTTATGGTCTTGGTTCTTGAGAGGTATTCGGAAATGGTGGACTTTGGGTCAAGTTTGTTGACAGAGGTCTGATGTTCCTTGAGTCTGGTGTTGAGGGATCTGAAGGGTCTACGATGTACTGGTGGCCACAGTTGCAGTAGATCTGGTTTATACATCCACTAGAGTAGGGACAACGCCCATGTCCTAGAAGCCAATCCAAGAACTACAAACAATAAGACAGTAATTGATTTGAGCAGCAAGACCCTCATATCTTCACAAATATCCCTCCTCGCCAAAGGCCTGAAGTATGCCCCAGTCAGTGCCAAGACCAACACAGATGCATTCTTCACCAGCGTCGAGGATGGCCTCCAACAACTGCCTCCAAACGACAATGTCGACTACCTCCTCCATCAAATTATAGACGCCATCAAGAATGCCACTAAACCACAGTGCAACAGTGGACTACTGTTTCTTGTCTGTAAATCCCTTTATAGCCAAAATCACACTGAATGCTCACTCACTCATTGATATATATGTTTGAAAAGTTTTCACTTAGTATTTTGTATGGGAATTTAGTTCATCGAGTGGTCATGTAATTATATTTTGTGAGATATTCAGTTAGGCATGTTTAGTTGTGGCATGTGTGAGACGTCCACACTGGGGTGTATATGTATCAATATCAGTAGGTGCTGGACAGGTAGGAAGACCCCATACAAAGTAGTATGATTGAAAACAAAGTGGAACACCAGTGACTCTCAACGTAAGTATTTGATAGATCTGACATTTCTTCGGGTAAAATTAAACTTCCTTTCAGATTTGTAACGGGCGCTTGATGTCATATGTTAATTCAACAGTAATATACACAGATGATTTCACTGTCTAAAAAAAAAATGGATGTCGACAATCTACTGACCTGAAAACTTCAGCGCTGTATGCCAAAACAGAACAGTAGAAATAGAATACTGTGAAAATGCAAGGGATTGATTTGAGCCGATTGGGGAGTGATTTGAACCTGGAGTGAGTGTTTCCTTTTAGTAGTGGGGCGTGACCTCATCCGAGGCTCAATCAATCTAGAATAAATCTGAATTCTTAATGAACTAATTTTTTTAAAATTGGTGGTCCCTTTGAGTTCGTTTTAACTGCAGTTGACTGTATGACAGAACAGAAGAGTAGAAGTAGAATACTGTGAAAATGTAAGGGATTGATTTAAGCCCAACGGGGAGTGATCTAAGCCTGGACTGAGAGTGTGGGGCCAAGTAGAGGGGAGTGACCTCAGTCTAGATGCAATGACATGAAGTTGTTCAGGGATTGATTTGTTATCGTCTGTTTTACGCTATTTTCCTATTGCAAATTTTTTTGATCAAGCATTTGTGATCCAATATGCCCTAGAGTATCAAAATCCGCAACGTTGCTGTGTTGAGTTTACTTGCTCTTTAAGTATTTGATTTGGCAATCACTTCTCAAACATCACAAGTACAAGGCAGGTACCTACCTGAGCTAGAAATAAAGGAAACCAGTAATCATGAGACCGTCTTATCTGTTAATTTAGATAAATGCATAAATATTCAGAGTGACAAAACACTCTTCACAAGACTGTTTGACAAGAAGGATGACTTTAACTTTCCAATAGTCAACTTTCCCTTCATGTCAAGCAATATTCGAGCACCTCCAGCCTTTCGTGTTTACATATTTCACTTCTGAGATACAATCGAACATGCTCTTTCAACCAAGATTTCAAAGAGTGTCATACGAGTCTTGTTTAGAAGTTGCTTGATCAAGGTTTCAACATTTAAGACCTAAGTAAAACTTTCAAAAAGCTTTATGGTGGACATGTGGAGGACATTTCCGAATTTGACGCATCAGTGCCAAAACTGATGTCCGAAGCAATTCCCAATTTTGACTTGTACAGGATGTTTCCGTGCTTTTTTCAGGTGATCATTTGACTTGCCTTTGCATGTGTTTGTGACGGGTGCCACCGTGGAGCAGGATACGCTCCCCCTTTCGCGAACACCTAGTATCTTAACTATTCGATAGTGATTCAAAAACACATGCTCATGATATAGTCGGAATCGTACAATTGACTCTGCCTTTTTGCATATGGAACGGATTTTGTCGCTTTATTTTCTGACATGAACTTCTATGTCCCTGAAATAAGCAAAGTAAACGAGTTGTTTTATCAGCTCTGGCTTATCATCACTTTGTCATTGACACGAGGTCACTCGTTCACATTAAATGGCATACTTCTTTATGTAGATACACATTAACATACACACGAGGTGCTGACACCATGAATTGGATACGTGTGCTCGTTATACTCTGCTCCTTACATGTGCAACGTACAGTGGGTCAGTCTGTTTCTGTCACTGTTTCTACAGACAAGGAAATAGCAACGATAGATGACCATTTCGTCGGGGTGACATTGGATTCGTCAATGCTAGCAATATCTGTTAACTGGGAAGGACTTGATTTAAGGTAAGTATATTGTGATTCACTGTAACACTATATCATATGAGCATGATAAATAATCTTTAAGTTTGAAAGAAAACAAATATTTTCAGTTTCTGCGAATATATTTCATCTAAAACAATGTTTTAGTTCACCTAAAGTGCAGACGCTTGCAAAAGCATTATCCCCGGGCTATCTGAGAATAGCGGAACACCTGGAGACTTCATGACCTTTGACCCAACAGGACATGGGGGTACAAGTGCAAACTCCACTTATACTGGTATGTTTACATGACATGACATGATATATATACATATGATACCTGGTTTTGGAGTATTTAGTATTTAGTACCCATGAGAATAATAACAGGAGAATCGTTTCAGGCATCGTTTTCGTCAAATTTGGAAACCTCCTCATGATTTCTACAAAAAAACTTTTAGAAACCTTTACCTAGGCTTTGAATGTTGTAACACTGATCAAATTACTTTTGAACAAAAGTCAAGTAAAGCTCTCTGGAGTCCTCGATTGTACCTAAAATCTGCAATGTTCAATATAATACCTCTGCCACATGTACATATGAATCAGTGACCTGCAATACATTGTTTTTATGAGAAGGATATATTGGGGTTATGACGCGAGTGAGTTTTGGGATGGTAAATATCCTCTACAAGGAATGAACATTGTACATAGGGTTTATTTTCCAAGCACACACAAGCGTGATGACATCTTTACCATATAATGTCATTCCTAAAACTATTACCGAAATATGTATTCTCATCTCTTACCAATGGTTCCTAAACATTGCAAGGTTTCCTGTTTTCCTATGACGTAACAATTTCAGTGATAATTCAGAAATAGAGTGACAGGAGGTTGATAAAACATTTGACACCTATCGTCGGCTTTATGGACATTATTGTACTTTGTTTGTTGTTTAACTCATAAATAGTCCAGTTGTATGACGGCGGTCTGTAACTAAACAAATCTGGACCAGACATTCTGATTGACATCATGAGCATCGATCCAACCAATTGGGATACAATTACAAGCTTTAACCATGTCAGCTATCCTTTTACGGCAAGCATTGGTTGCTGAAGACCTATTCTACCCCGAATCTTCACGGGTCGACCATTAGTTTTAGAAGTGATAACAAAAACATGATGTGACAACATGCTTGAATGAACATGTTGAAGTTGATCAACGTTATAGGAGATAGGAGATTATTGGTGGTGGAATCAAAGTAAGGCTCTATCGTTCACGTTCCCTTCAGGAACAGTTCTATTACTCAGAATCAAGAATGACTTATTTATAGAACTGTGATATAGTATCTCTCAAATAGTTCCAGATCCCTGATGTTCCCTTTTAACTCGATCGCCGATACACAAGGACGACGCCATGTCTGTTTCCAAACACTGAGTACTTACGTGACCTTATGTTTGTATGTTTATTCGACTTTTTATTCGTTGGCGTCATCCTGATGAGAATCTTACCCACTGTATGATAAACTTGAATATCTTATGTTTGAGATGCTAAATGGGACGAGCTTAATGCCTTTGTGAAGAACGTTGGGTGGGATTTGGTGTTTGCCCTCAATGTGTTGAAGCGGAAAGACGGACAGTGGGACCCTGACAACGCCAAAGAACTGATGACCTATAGCAATGCCAGGAATTACACCATACCTGCATTTGAACTCGGAAATGGTAGTGTATGGTTCTACAGCTCATTTCATATCATATACAACGTAGCATCTTTGTATACAATATAATACTTTACCAAGTATGTACAGTTATTACTTGATAATTCCTCCGCCTTTCTTGATCATTACTCCGTATTTATTACCGTCACATATGTGTACGGTGTAATTCGTACCAGTCGATATGTTTAGAGCATGACGAACATATGTACTGTAACGACCATAATCATATTCTTGATATAATACTCTAGTTTCTTTGGTCTCTAGAACCTGAATATTTCCCTGAACCCTTCACCAATACAATTTCTGGAGCACAGCTTGGGCGAGATTTTGTCCATCTTAGGGAAATCCTCAAGTCTACTCCTGGGTTCGAATCCACGCTGGTGATTGGACCAGATGTAACAGGTATCTCAGGACCGAAATCCATATTGTTTCAGAAGTAAGTGGAAACTTAGAACACATGTTTTCATGATTGGCACACATTGTCTTCTGGGTACCAGTAGCATGATACTGATGTGAAAGTAACAAATGATACCTCATGGACATGGTCAATCTTCTCAACTGTTTTAATGCGGTGATATGATAAGCGATATATAAATCATTGTAAAGTATCCATGACACTAATCCAGTAGCTCACACCATTCAATTACCGAAAACGGTATTCACAATTATGACCGAGTTTGATGCTAGAATTCCTATTGATGATTTTTCAGTTTCTTCGCAGGCGAAGGAAGCAAGGCCGTTGACAGAATCACCTTTCACCAGTGAGTCTTAAGCTATGTCATCTTCTGAAACATGTGTTGAATTAAGTTATTGTAACAACACATGTTACTACTCTACGCTTATTAATATATGCAGTAGGGACACTTAATAAACGAGCTTTCCTTAGCGTCACATTTGAAAATTCTTTAAATGTTTAGGTACTATGCCTTTGAAGGCGATGCGACAGTGAACACCTGCCTCGACCCCAAGGTGATGGACAGCCTGATATCTGACATCCACAGAGTGCGTAATGTCACCTCCCCCTCCAACCCCGACACTCCCCTTTGGCTTGGGGAGACATCGTCCTTCTACGGTGGGGGAACTCCAGCGTTATCTGATAGATATGTAGCGGGGTTTCTGTGAGTATTGTCTCTCTTTTTGAAAGTTTCTTTATTTTTATAAGTATAACAATTTATAGAGCGAGTATGTACTTACACCTATTTCATCAGTAGAACATACCAGAAACTGGCTTCACGGAACCTATCAGTGTGAGGAATGGAACCTGGGTCAACAGCGTGACGACCAAACGGTTAATAGTTGCCCCTGTTTATAGTGCATTGGTGTTCTTTTACGAGGTAGTTAGAAATAGTCAAGCTTTAGCGGCGCGTTTTGTAAATACACAATACTGGGTCTGGCAAACCAGAGTTTGACAGCAAGACCAGTCGGTGCATGGTGACACACAATCAGCCAGATCCTGCATGGAGACCTACTCACCCTAATGCTGCTGAGGATATACTTAGTAACCGGTTAGTTGACGATATGGACCTGGACCAAACAGAAACAACAAACACACATAAAACTACGGACAACATCTGTCAGCTGAAAAAAATGATATACAGCCTTGTTTAATCTGGTGAGTGTGAGTGAGTTGGGTTTAACACCGCTTTTAACAGTATTCCAGTTATATCACGGAGTGTCAGCTTAGTATGGGAGGAAAGCCCGATGTGATGCAGGTCTCAGGTTTAACCCACGAACACGGGTATGGTGCTGACAAACCTAGAAACATAATCGGGGCGAACGGGTATTCGAACCCACAATCATAGGTTTTTAGCGTGCCCAAGGGACGCAACTCTGCACAGCGAATCGCGGCGTCCTTGACGACTAGGCCGTCCGTGCCCCCTTTGAATGTAGCGAAGATGCGTGTAAGTTGAATGCGTGATTCCTCAGGTTTGAGGACTTTTATTGTTGTTGGTAGTGCCAGAATGAATGCGCAACCCTACCTCGACAAGCATGTGAGCAATTATTCATCCCGCATTTGATTCACCTAGCTTCAAATTAATATTTCAGATGGTTAGACAAGCTCGGGGTTGCCTCACGGATGGGACTTAAAGGGGTTTTAAGACAATCGTACTATGGACACAATTATTCTCTGATCGAGATGAACACATTTGAACCTTATTCGGTAAAATCCGTCTTTGCACAAGGTGTTTCTTTCGAAAATATATATTAAAAACATTTTGTCAGTTGTATCTGATGTCTCTGCTTTCTCTGATTCTGGAGGCAGTCAGTATATAATAACCTCATTACTTAATCAAATCCATACTCTCTAACTGCTTACATGTCAATGATACATATGACAACAGTAAAATTGCCCGTGTATGGTTCAGTGTGTCCAGTCTTTGATAATTACTTGTAAAGTGTCTCCCTTGTCACCCACTCAGCCCCTAACAGTAACTTTTATGAAGCAAACCTGAATACATTAGTGTTATGTGTTTGATAGCACAAGATTTAATTGAAAATGATTCAGACCTACTTGATGCATAGACAATTGTCACTTTCCAGGACTACTGGCTGACCTTGCTCTACAAGAGACTGGTTGGGAATAAAGTGTTATCCTTGCAGACGAACTCAACCAACAGCTTCAGGGTCTATGCCCACTGTGCAAAACAGAACAGGTACACAGTTGGAAGGTGTTGAATGGGATAGTCAGTGGTCCTTTTTATATTTGAACATCAACTTCTATAACATAAATGTCTCCTCTGTAGTCATCCATTTCCATAACGTGCATGTAATGTAATGACTTCGGATGTGCCAACATATTGTAACTTTTCGATCCAACATGTTTCCGTATGTTTTGAATAGTGTATACAACTACAAGCCGGGTAGTGTTGTAATCTACATCGTCAACGTCAACATCTACACCACCGTCGTCACCTTCCCACAATTCCAAAAGAATATGGATCTCTTCTGGCTCAGACCAGAGTTCACAGAACTTACATCAAGGCAAGTACAGGCATACATGATGATGGTCATATGGCAGAGACTAATACACAGAGGAACAAGAACACTTTATGATACAGGCTAATGAAACGCAGTGCGTTTTACTTTACATAATGTGATACATACTCAAACGTGATCACTCATATAACTAAAGAGATTATGGTTAATCGTCGCTAGTGTTGTCCTTAATTTCAGTTGACGTTATAATTTCAGGAATGTGACACTAAATGGTAAACGACTGGATTATGTGAACAACACCATCCCCGACATGCCCCCTCAAAAGGCCTATTGCGGGCTCCTCATGCTGCCAGCAAGGACCTTCGGGTTTGCCGTGTTCCCTGATGCGGATGTTGATATCTGCAGGTGATTGTTACAAGTGGAATGTGTAAAGCGTAATAAATTAAAGCAGTGTTCCATTACAAATATATGCATTTCTTTTGTTGGCATTGCGTTCTTCTTCTTGTAACGTCTTCAAGATGACAGACTTACGCCTCCTACGCTGCCTAGTAGGGCAGGACATGCTTACCCTTTTCGCGAAGACCATGTCATGACTGATTATCAGTTGTCAATTCATATAATTTACCCAGCTATTTTGCCCTTTATGCCAAATTGAATCTGCTTCGGGCATTGACACATAGAGGAAATATACGCAAATCGTGTTCTTGCATGCATTTCCTCCCATGTTTGCGTTTGTTTGGTGTAAAAACCGGTCCCGTGGGTGTAGAAAATCAATAAGTGTGTCAATTATATGGACACTTTATGAGATGGAAACATGACATTGCCATTGGCAACTTAGTCTGAAAACCCGTGCGCCTCTGACCTTGGTAAAGCTCATTTGTTCTGTTCATCGGGATCTGTTCCGCTGTGTAAATGAGACAACTGACAACATGTACATTTGACTGACCTCGGTCTCATTCAAACAAACTGTCTGTTACTGTGTCAATTTAACCAAGAGACATTTCTTCAGAGTTTCGTTTTCAGGGTTTCGTTTTCCACAACACAAACAAGCAGCCTAGCCATGTGTTCTACATGTACATATATACGTTTACTACACTGTCAAATTAACTGAATGTGTTGTTACTTCACATCTACTTACACTGGGCCTGTGATAACGTTCGATAAAATCGTAGGCCCCAAAACTTGGAAGAGACACGTTGTTGACGTATTACGGATGTCAAATCCCGAAGTAAATGTAGAACACATTACGCATCTACTTACACTGGGCCTGTGATAACGTTCGATAAAATCGTAGGCCACAAAACTTGGAAGAGACACGTTGTGGACGTGTTACGGATGTCAAATCCCGAAGTAAATGTAGAACACATTACGCATCTACTTACACTGGGCCTGTGATAACGTTCGATAAAATCGTAGGCCACAAAACTTGGAAGAGACACGTTGTGGACGTGTTACGGATGTCAAATCCCGAGTAAATGTAGAACACATTACTCTTCACAGCGCCTGGAATGGCACTGTAGTGCAGAGGAGTTTTAGGTGGCTAAATGTTATCAGGAAATTCTTGCTCCTGATTGATAACTCCAGACTCAAAGCTTATTATGCGTCTGCATATCTAACTGTTGTTAATGTTGTTAGCATCCCGATATGTGTCGTAAAGTGACTCAAGCATTGCGGTAGGCGTAGGTGACTCCCCTCGTCTTAACCGTATTACCAATCGTTAACACAGACAGTGCTTGTCGTAAGAGGCGACTATACTTGTCGTAAGAGGCGACTATGCTTGTCGTAAGAGGCGACTATGCTTGTCGTAAAAGGTGACTAACGGGATCGAGTGGTCCAGATCTCTGACTTGGCTGATGCAAGTCATCGATCCCAAGTGCGTGGATCGATGCTCATGATATCAATTACTGTATTGTCTGGTCCAGACTCGATTATTTACAGACCGCCGTCATATAGCTGGAATATTGCTGAGTACGGCGTTAAACAGCAAACCAACTAACACAGATAAATATGTCACTAGATAAGGGTGTCAAGGTAAAAAGTCATGAAAGTACAACATGATACACACATCTGGTACAAGATAATCTTTCTCTTTAATTATGTAACTTTTAACTTTTTATTTATTTATGTTTATAAGTTATTTGAATATGCATGCTCATTTGTAAATATATTTATACTTAAAGTACATTTGTGGTTTGTGTCACATTATGATGACTCGCGGGCCAGTCTGAAATCTGACCACTTTATGCGATCTAGTGGCCTCTAAAGACCAGGAATAGATTGCTAGGGACCTTGAAATAGTGACATATGCAGAATCACATTGTCCTACTTATGATAAATGTTGAATCATTAGCACAATATCATAGTTTAGACGTTATCTACAGTAGGGAAACACTCAGGGCTTGCAACAAGCTGGCCATCCAGGTCTGACGTCACGTCAACATAACAACCATATCCGGTTGGTGCATCTACGGAATCAATACCGAACCGCTCCGTTAACAATTCTTGTGTTGAGAATTAGTGGCAGAACATTACGCGACCGGTTGAGAAAGCACAAGATCCGGCCCCAGCGTCCAGCGATACGTCCAATTTTGCTTGGTGCAGACAGCATCTGAGTTTCCGAAGACACTACTGGGATAGTATACTGTTCAAAGATGAATAAGAGTTTTATCTGGACAGATCTGATGGTCCTGCAAGGGTCTAAAGACGTCCAGGAGAACTCTGCTAAGAGAAGAGACGTTTGTTCTATTCCGACCATATCATGAGCATGTGTTTATGCATAAATTTCAAACAGTGACGACAGAAAGTGTTTGCGAAGATGTTGCGCATCATGCCACGTGGATGGCACTAGTCACAAACTGGTCACATTGTCCACCTAAAAAGACACATGAACTTATGGTACAAATCAAAATAATGAATTGCATCGGGCATCTTTCTTGTACCGCTGCGTCAAATTTACACGTCCACCATAAAACCTTTTGAAAGCTTCCCGGAGGCCTTAAATGTTGTAATCTTGATCAAACAACTTCTAAGAATGAGTCGTGTGACACTTTTTGCAATCTTGGTATGAAGAGCATGCTCGATTGTACCTCAAACGTGACAAGGGCTGGAGCTGATGGAATATTTCAAGAGTATTGCTCGATATACACAGATACGTATATGATTTCATATTAATTCAGATTGCAAAACATGTTTGGGACGAAGTACATTTCACCAAGAAAGTAGGCTGGGTTCTCATATTTTGGCTCTGTGTGCTGCAGCGGAAAGATGGACACTGGGACCCGAGCAATGCAGACCAGCTGCTAGACTTCTCCAACAAGAAAGGATATGACATCAAAGGCTTTGAAGTGTGCAATGACATTATGTTCTCCACGTTACTTACACATGTAATTCACAAACTGAAATACGTGATTTCCCCCAAAAGTCCTTTTGGCTCCAAATGATAACGATGAATTGCAAAATGACTCAAAATCGGGAATAGTCTATTACATATCAAAGCAGTACACTTCAATGAATACTCTGTACCCAACAATATCTGCTGTTTGTTATCATTATTCCAATCACTGGACATGTAGGAAGCAGAAGTATCGTAAGTCCTCATGGTACCTAGTATGGTGACCTACCTTTGGCTATTGGTGATCTATAGGCCATTTTTATTGTGTACTGTTATGAATTGTTACAAATTTTATTATGATATGCTAGTTTTACAATCTACATCTGTGATAGTCTAGTGTTTTTACTGTCGTTTGTCGACAGATTATAATGTCTATTTTTATATATTATTGATTTACAACCTGATTTAGTCACGATATGGCTGAAATATTGCCGATGTGACTATGAAATCTTAACTCACTCACTCACTCACCTATCACTGGAAAAAGTTGTTCAGAAACTATCATATTGTTGTGTGTACACGTTGACATCTTGGACGTTGGGGACGCAACGGTAGGAGGAACAGCGAAAACACGTACTGAACGTGCTACATAGTAAACGTCGTTGTTGACTGACAGGATTCACTATTTGCTTGCTTGTTTGTTTGTTTGCTGTTTGACACTGCACTCAGCAATAGTCCAGCCAAATGACGGTAGTCTGTAAATAGTCGAGTCTGGACTAGACAATCCACTGATTGGCATCATGAACATCGATCCACGCAATTTGGATACGATGACATGCATTAACCAAGTCAGCTAGCCTGACCACCCAATCCCGTTGGTCAACTCTGAGGAC